TAGGGCAAAACAACGTCTTTTTTTCATCTCTGCTGATGAATTTCCACTCTCACTGGAGAAGCTCAGCCTCACAGCTGTCGACCACCAAGAAACAGACCAAGGATTGAAGCAGGGGAGGGGGGAGAACAGAGGGAGGGGGTGATTGTTGATTTCTTTTTCACTATTCAATATTCACTATTTATAAGAGCTAAATTATTTTGTGAAATTTACCAGATTACATTTTTTTTGAGGCGTTTTAGGTTAAAGGCAGATTGATTCAATCGTCCATTCACTTATCATGGTTTTTAATGCAGTCAATAAACCATTACATCAACACGTCTGCCTGACGTTAATTGTCCTTTAGTTCCAGCAATATACAGAAAAAATGTGTTATTTATTTATTTAAAATGATAATAATTATAGCTGATTAATCATGATTAATTGTTAGTCGTCCAGATCCAGGCTGTGCAGAATCAGAATAAATGTAATGGTTTGACTATAGACCTATAGAATAAACTATATTTATAAAGTTGACTCTGGGGCTGGGGGGGGGTCTGTGGCTTCAATCCTTCTTCTAACTGAGGCAAGAAAATAACGTCTTTGTTTAAACTTCAGACGACAACAGCGTTAAAAAAAAAAAAAGATTCTGACAATGGATTCAATTTTTCCACCGTCTTTGCAGCGCAACAGTGGGTCGTGTGTGAAATCTTTGTGGTCGTTCTAGTCTGGCATCTCTGTGGGATTTACTGAGACCCTCTTTTGGTAGGTTTAAAACAGAAAAAAACAGAAAAAAAAAAAAAGCCATTACAGCCGCTCTCGACTCCCAGTAATCACAACACACAGAAATTACACAAACAACCGCACCCTGGCATGTGGACCCATTACTAATGGGCCCGTCTCATTGTGCAGCTGAAAATAAAATGAAAAACAAAGACAGAAGGCAGCAGCCAGTGGCTCCGCGGCATAAACACGCCACAAAACTCATCAATTTGATCAAAACAAGCCGGCGTGGATTCAGTCGCTCAGACAAGTACGCCAAAGCTTGGCAAACATGACTCAGTGGAAATGGAATTGGACCTTACACAGTGTTAGATAGACGCCTCGTGACTGTGCCGAGGCCTGGTCCCCCCCTCTCTCTCTCCCCTCTCTCTCTCTCTCTCCTTCCCTACAAGTACAAACCACAGTGTTAAGCCAGGTTGTGAGACAGTCTGACAAAAGGTGGGAGACACAAGTTGCTGACAGAGGAAGAACCCGCACGTCCTTTCTTGTCCTTCCTGGATCTTTGACGTCGTCTCAGATGAAGTCAGTTTTTCTGTTTTCTCTCAACCTGACGACAGGTAGAGTTTCAGTCAGTTTGGTGGAAACTGTATCAGGCGGTTCTCCCCGGTGTATCAGAGGAGAGGAGCAGTGGGACGACGACTCCTACTGCCCGTCATTTGGTTCCATTACATCCTCATCGTCCGGACCTTTGAGA